GGGGCAGACAAGATGGCTTAGCAAGTAGAGGCAGTTTTTTTTGCCAAGCTCTAACTACTTTGTTCTTTCTTATGCTCTGGTAAGTTAAGTTTTTTTTTTTTTTTTAAAATCTAATTGTTCATTATTGATGTTTGGATATATAATTAATTTTAACAATTTGATTATATATTATTTTTGTAATTTTGGTTATGTATTACTCAACTTCTCTGAATTTGTAAGTTCATGTTTTTCATAGACTCATTAAAGTTTTCTACATAGAAAATGTATCATAGATAAATAGAAATAATTATATTTTGTAATTTTCAAATGGGTATCTTTTATCTCTTGTTCTTGCCTAATTTTGTGTGTGAATAGTGGAGAGGGGGTCTACCAAACATGCTTGTCAGTTCTTTACAACTCAATATGATGTTAGCTATGAGTCATTCATACACAGTCTTTTTCATGTAGAGGAATTCCATTGTGTTCTAATTATTGAAAATTTATTTAATCATTAAAGAATGCTACATTTTATCAAATGCTTTTTCAGTATTAATCATGATGATGGTGTGTTTTTTGCCTTTTTTCTACTAGCTTGCTATATTACTTTCATTGGGTCTTATGTTTTGCATTTACCCTTGCATACATTCCTGCACAAATCCCATTTGATCATGGTGTATAATCCTTTTAATATGCTGCTGAATTTGATTTGCTAGTAATTTGTTGAGGATTTATGCATCTATGTTCATAAGGGATATTGGCCTGTTTTTTTTATTTCCTAGTATGCTCCTCTGAAATTTTACTTTACTTTAAAACTCTATTATCTTTAGTTTTAATGAATTTTCCTCTCATGTTATAACTGCTGAAGAAATTTTCTTCTGGGAATTCCTTTACTTTTTTTTTTTTTTATAAGAGCCAAGAATGCATACTGCTATTTGTTAGCATGGCAAGGGTTTAGAATGCAAAACTATAAAAGGAGACCATGAAAGCTTTAGTAATTACAGCTTTTGAAAGATTTGTTTTTATTTGTGTGGCTGCCAGGTGCGTGTGAGTAAAGATGCCCATGATGCGGAAGAGGGCACTGGATCTCTTGGAGGTGTAGTTACAGATGGTGTGAACGGCTGGGTGTGGGCACTGAGTCCCGAATTCAGAGCCTCTGAAAAATCAGCACATGCCCTCCTGAGCCAATTCCTTAGACTTAAATTATATCCCTAGTGAAGATTTTATCCTGTCTCCCAGGGGTTAAATAGGCCATTGACAGAAAATTGTAGATGAAAGAGGAAAGACCCTCTCAGCGTCTGAGGAAAGAGGATGGCAATCTCGCCCTGTTCAGTGGTGGTATCGGCCTGTGTGTTTTTTCTAGCCTCCCCCACTCTGGAATTATATTTACTTTAAATTTTATCTTTAGTTTTATAATCTTTATTTTCATGTTGCAATCTCAGATGGAAATCTGAGACACTGATTAATATTTCAGTCCCTTCTCAGTAGCTGTAGAGGCAAGGGCCTGAAGGGCCAGCCATCTCATAAGCACACCCACGGATGAGAATCATCTAAAACCATAGGATCAATTTTGTTTCTCTACTTTCACAGTGATCATATCTTGCTGTCTTTTCTTCCACTGCCTACCTCCTACTCTTCCTCTCTTCCCATAACTTTCCCTTCTCTGGACTCTCACACTCTCTTCCTCTCGCCGTGACTGGCCTTCTTTCTTTCATCGGATATTCAATCATTGCAGAATGGCATTCATTCGAATGCCTGGGTGCCTCTCATCACAGGGGTTCTGTTGGTAAGGATGCCCACCTGGAGACTCTGTCTTCCTGTAGTCTGTGGTTCTAGAATGAAGAGGAAATCCTACTGTAAGTTCTGTCCAAACTTGAACACCTGTCAGTTCATTACAGCCAGCTATACTGAAGAGCCGAAAGATGGTCCCCACTTCAGCTGACAATGGTTTCCAGTGTTGTTTATTTATGGGTTGCTCTCTTTCACAAACAATTTGAAGCACCTTATAAAATACATAGAAGAGGGTAAAATAAGTAGTTGAAATAATCAGAGCAATATGGAAATCAGGATATGGAAATAAACCTTGGATAGGAGTCACATAGACTTAAATCATGGGTGTTTTTTTCTTCAATTGTTGAGTGGATGTACATGTTTTGCTCTAAGTTTCCACAGGGCTAAAATAAAAAGTGAATTATTATGACCAATTATGTAATGCATAGCATCCTCAAAGTTAAAAACAGCCCAGTTGTTCTGGAGGAAGCCTTTTCTGTTCATAAGACTCAGGAATTTTCTTAGATCTGTGATCTACTTATTCCCTGAAGCCTCCTGTGGAAGACTATGTTTGGTAACCAGCATCCTTTAACAGGACTTCCTGGCATTGTCTTAATAATTTAACGAACCATGGTATATAGTGCTGAGTGTATTTCAGATATAAGTCTAGGTGGGACCAAAACAAGGTGCTTTGAAGATGAAATTTGTTACAGCTCAGCAAACCATGTTCTTTCTTGAAATCTCCCATGCTGATCGAGTGTCACACATAAGCAAGCTTTTATAGTTTTTGAAAAGACAATATGTCTGTGGGGGGAGGGGTGATTACAGATTTCTGGGGAGGCTAGAATTGTAATATTCCCTTATGTTGGAGTTATAGGTTTTGTGAGTTGCTTGATGTGGATGCTGGAAATCAAACTGCAGTCCTCTGCAAGATCAATACATGCTATTAATCACTGAGACATCTCTCCAACCCATCAACCAAACCTTCTGGCCATAATAATGAAGAGTAGAATCATGTTAGAGCAGGCTCTGGCAGGAAGCTCATCTGGAGTTCCCAAGCCCACTTCTCAGCACACCAGGGTATTAGAGTATTTCTTCCTCAGGGTTATAGGAATGAGGTCCCCATTTCTTCTTGCAGATCCTTGAGTCTTCCAAAGGCCATATGGCTGTTCATAGCCATCAAAGTCCATTCTCTCTCATCTGTAAGAATGGAGTCTTACATAAAAGAGGCTAATCACAGGCATGAAATCTCATTCTTTATGGGTTCTCACCACACTCAAAGGGCTTTCTCTAGGACATGTGCGTGGAGGTGGAGCCACTTCTGACTACCATGGGACCCTGTTCATCATGGTGTTCAGTTGGAATGGCGTTTCTTTCGTGAGCTCTTCATAGATGCTCTTCTGTGCCTTCATCCACATAGCGTTTTATACAATCTCTTACTCTGCATCCTCTATGTGAACTATGACCTTAGAATTCATTACTGTGTCAGAATCTGACCAGGACACTTTGCCTTTGAATACACATTTCCCAACTGCTTGCTTGCTCTTTCCACATTCCTGAGATAGCTTATAAAACATCAACAGTGGTATTTTTAAAAAGGTGATGTTTTATTGAATTTTTTATGTAATATATCCTACTTACAGTTTCCACGCCCTCACTTCCTCTCAGTTCTCCCCACCTCACCTCTCATTCAAATCTACCCCCTTTTTTCTCTCCTTAGAAAACAAACAGCTTCTAAGGATTATAATATATTATGTTATAATATAATGTAATGATAAAACAAAAACAAATACATCAGAATAGGATAAAACAAACAAAAAGGAAAAGAGTTCCAGAAAAGGTACAAAACCATAGATGCAGCGACCCGCTCATTCATACACTTGGAAATAACATAAAAATACAACACCAGAAGCCATAATATATATGCAGTGGACATTTATGACTAGAGAGAGAGAGATGGAGAGAGATAAAGATAAAATTAATGAAGACAAGGGCTCACTATGACATTATGAGACAGAGAACCTACAAAGGTGTTGTGGAGTTAATTTTCTGTTCTGTCTGCTGTTTGACATGCAGTCTACTCTTAAGAATAGTTTGTTTCCCCAGTGAGACTCCCTTGCAAGTGGTTATCAATTGGAGATAGCTTCTGGGTTAAGCGGGGGGAGGGGCATGTGTATAATTCTTAAAGATTTGATACTGTTTTTCAATTGTCAGCCATCTGCAGTGGCACATTTTGAAGATTTATCTCTGTATAGCTAGCTACTTAGGGAGAGATCTTATCTTCCTTTATCTTAAGTGATCTGCATATAGGCTACTAATGTTTGAATCCGAGAAAACACAGATTACAGGAAATCCTAATTCAGAGGCAGGAGCCAGGGGTTTGACTTGGAGCTGGGGCGATGACTCAGCACGTAGAGTACTTGCTATGCTAGCATGAGGACCTGACTTTGGATCCCCAGTACCCAAATAAAAAGCCAGGCATGACAGTGAATGCCAGCCTGTCATCCCAGTGCTGGGAAGATGAAGACAGGAGGATCTCCAGGACTTGCTGGCTAACAAGTCTCACTGAATTGGCAAATTTTGGGTTCATTAAGAGACCCTATCTCCAAAATATGATATAGAGGCTGGCAATGGTTGAGAACACTTCATTCTTGCAGAAGATCCAGGTTCCACACCTAGCACCCATCTGGCAGCTCACAACCACCTGGAGTTACAGTTCCAGAGGTTCCAATGCTCTCTTTTGACTTTTGTGAGCACTATATGCATGTATGTACATGTGGTTCACAGACATACATGGAGGCAAAACAACCATCCACATAAAATAAAAATAAATAAATCTTTTAAAAATAGAGTACAAAGGGGACTAAGAAAGGTACCTGCTGCTGACATCTGGCCCCAACACAAACACTTGCTCCTTTACCCACAAATGCACTCAAATGTACACACACACACATACACAGAGGGTGCAGGAGGGAGGGAAGACGGGAGGAGAAACAAGTGGATGAACAAGCTTCCCCTTTGAATTTTATTGAGAAGTTAAAGACACTCCCAGCTGGTATGATTCCAGAGAGCTTCCAGGGGGATATAAGTGTGGTAATAAAGAAAATGTAAGATTAAACATTGTCTTAGATGAGTCCACTCTTCAGCCCTGCCACTAAGAGTCATTGCCAGTGTTCATCAGAGCACACCAGGCATCTGTGCGAACTTGATGCTTTCTTTCCTAGATGTACATTTTACTTTGTTCCTTCTCACAGCTGGTGCTCAAGATCAAATTGGCTGGGCTTTTGGGCTCGGGTTAGAAAGACTGGCAATGATCCTCTACGACATCCCTGACATCCGCCTCTTCTGGAGTGAGGACGAGCGCTTCCTGAAGCAGTTCCGCGTGTCAGACATCAATCAGAAGATCAAGTTTCAGGTAGGATGACTATAAGAATTAGGATAATGTTGATAAAAAAAAGCCTGGGTCAAAACTGGTCTCGCTGAACATAGCGGACAAGGAGGACTACTGAGACCTCAAGAACAAGGGCAACGGGTTTTTGATTCTACTGGACCTATTGGTTTCGTGGGAGCCTA